TGTTAACCCCTGACCTTGCTCTAAGGTTAACCCCTGACCTTGCTCTAAGGTTAACCCCTGACCTTGCACTAATGTTAACCCCTGACCTTGCTCTAATGTTAACCCCTGACCTTGCACTAATATTAACCCCTGACCTTACTCTGAATGCCTCAGTCATCACCCCCTCACACCTGGAACCCAGAATTCACCTGACCATTGATCAGGGTAATACACCTTCCGTGTGCTACACAGAGCTTGGTCCCTCACTTGTACACCTCGGGGGAAGGTGCGCTGGTTTCCTCAAGGTGTGTCGTGACTTGCAGCCTGGTTCCTTGCTGTTCCTGGCCCCCGGTGTCTGATGACCTTGGCTGTCTCCACACCCACACTGTGTCTGGGTCCCCACACCCACACTGTGTCTGGGTCCCCACACCCACACTGTGTCTGGGTCCCCACACCCACACTGTGTCTGGGTCCCCACACCCACAAAGCGTGACTGTTCCCACTAACTACGCTTGTAAACTAACAAGGATCACATACACACACCTGTAAACTAAGCAAGAATCTTACACACACACACACCCTGTAAACCCAGGAATAGTCTGGCCCTCACGTGAGACGTGGGCAGACCACAGCATAGTGTCTGGCCTTGGGAACTGGTTTGCCCTCCACATTTGCGACGGCGTTTAAGTGGGTGTTTTTTTCCGTGGATCAGTTTACGATTATCTGGGGGTCTCCGGGGGACGCCAGCAGCTGCCGCCGGAGCGCCGAACTGCCGTGATGATGATCTACGCAGTTCAGGGACGCTGAGCCCGAAACGTTTGGGCACAGATCCCCCGTCGCAGCTGGTACACGCACAAGGGGACACAGGTGGAAACTGAGTACCCCAAATGAGCCGCAGAGACATTAGAAAAATTCTTGTTTTGTTTCAGAGTAATTAACAACTAAAATGCGCAAAATAGATGGATGGAGGCCAATATTGGTTCTGGTAGCAGTGAGTGCCGGGACCCAAGAGCCGAGCGTTATAACTTTGAGTGTATTAACGAGCTTCCTCTAACTATCTAATAAGAGATGGAGGAGGCTTCCACAACTTCTTCCAGAGCATTTCTCTTATTCACCTCCCTTACAGGATTCAAGTATTTCCTCATATTTCTTCGACTCATTTTGCATTGCAGTATCTTGAATGTTGCGATCATATCCCCACTCTATTATTCCCTGCTTGAGGGTTGTGAAATCTAGTTTCATTAACCAGTCCTTCATAGCTCAACTAATCCTCATAGCTCCAGCACCTGTGTTGTTGCACACCGGAGTAGTTGGGCATGTAACAATGTTTGGGTGACAAATTTGTTGTTCTTTGTTGGTCGTTGGGATGTTTTTGTTGAACGGTCTAGGATAGTTTTTTTCATGTGGGTTTTAGGGTTTTTTCCCTTGATTTTTTTGTTGTTGAGCGTTTTGGACTTTGTTATGTAAGGCTGGACTTGTGTCAAGGGGTGAGGGATATACTCTGGTGGCTTGTGTCAAGGGGGAGGGGGATATACTCTGGTGACTTGTGTCAAGGGGTGAGGGATATACTCTGGTGACTTGTGTCCAGGGGTGAGGGATATACTCTGGTGACTTGTGTCAAGGGGTGAGGGATATACTCTGGTGACTTGTGTCAAGGGGTGAGGGATATACTCTGGTGACTTGTGTCAAGGGGTGAGGGATATACTCTGGTGACTTGTGTCAAGGGGTGAGGGATATACTCTGGTGACTTGTGTCAGGGGTGAGGGATATACTCTGGTGACTTGTGTCAAGGGGTGAGGGATATACTCTGGTACTTGTGTCCAGGGGTGAGGGATATACTCTGGTGACTTGTGTCAGGGGTGAGGGATATACTCTGGTGACTTGTGTCAAGGGGTGAGGGATATACTCTGGTGACTTGTGTCAAGGGGTGAGGGATATACTCTGGTGACTTGTGTCAAGGGGTGAGGGATATACTCTGGTGACTTGTGTCAAGGGGTGAGGGATATACTCTGGTGACTTGTGTCAAGGGGTGAGGGATATACTCTGGTGACTTGTGTCAAGGGGTGAGGGATATACTCTGGTGACTTGTGTCAAGGGGTGAGGGATATACTCTGGTGACTTGTGTCAAGGGGTGAGGGATATACTCTGGTGACTTGTGTCAAGGGGTGAGGGATATACTCTGGTGACTTGTGTCAAGGGGTGAGGGATATACTCTGGTGACTTGTGTCAAGGGGTGAGGGATATAGGGGTGAGGGGGATATACTCTGGTGACTTGTGTCAAGGGGTGAGGGATATACTCTGGTGACTTGTGTCAAGGGGTGAGGGATATACTCTGGTGACTTGTGTCAAGGGGTGAGGGATATACTCTGGTGACTTGTGTCAAGGGGTGAGGGATATACTCTGGTGACTTGTGTCAAGGGGTGAGGGATATACTCTGGTGACTTGTGTCAAGGGGTGAGGGATATACTCTGGTGACTTGTGTCAAGGGGTGAGGGATATACTCTGGTGACTTGTGTCAAGGGGTGAGGGATATACTCTGGTGACTTGTGTCAAGGGGTGAGGGATATACTCTGGTGACTTGTGTCAAGGGGTGAGGGATATACTCTGGTGACTTGTGTCCAGGGGTGAGGGATATACTCTGGTGACTTGTGTCAAGGGGTGAGGGATATACTCTGGTGACTTGTGTCAAGGGGTGAGGGATATACTCTGGTGACTTGTGTCCAGGGGTGAGGGATATACTCTGGTGACAAGGGGTGAGGGATATACTCTGGTGACTTGTGTCAAGGGGTGAGGGATATACTCTGGTGACTTGTGTCAAGGGGTGAGGGATATACTCTGGTGACTTGTGTCAAGGGGTGAGGGATATACTCTGGTGACTTGTGTCAAGGGGTGAGGGATATACTCTGGTGACTTGTGTCAAGGGGTGAGGGATATACTCTGGTGACTTGTGTCAAGGGGTGAGGGATATACTCTGGTGACTTGTGTCAAGGGGTGAGGGATATACTCTGGTGGCCTGTGTCAAGGGGTGAGGGATATACTCTGGTGACTTGTGTCAAGGGGTGAGGGATATACTCTGGTGACTTGTGTCCAGGGGTGAGGGATATACTCTGGTGACTTGTGTCAAGGGGTGAGGGATATACTCTGGTGACTTGTGTCAAGGGGTGAGGGATATACTCTGGTGACTTGTGTCAAGGGGTGAGGGATATACTCTGGTGACTTGTGTCAAGGGGTGAGGGATATACTCTGGGGTGAGGGGGGATATACTCTGGTGACTTGTGTCAAGGGGTGAGGGATATACTCTGGTGACTTGTGTCAAGGGGTGAGGGATATACTCTGGTGACTTGTGTCCAGGGGTGAGGGGTATACTCTGGTGACTTGTGTCAAGGGGGAGAGGGATATACTCTGGTGGCCTGTGTCAAGGGGTGAGGGATATACTCTGGTGACTTGTGTCCAGGGGTGAGGGGTATACTCTGGTGACTTGTGTCAAGGGGGAGAGGGATATACTCTGGTGGCCTGTGTCAAGGGGTGAGGGATATACTCTGGTGACTTGTGTCAAGGGGTGAGGGATATACTCTGGTGGCTTGTGTCAAGGGGGGGGGGGGATATACTCTCGTGGATGGCCTCTAAGGATATTGTTCTCTGATCAAGAACAGTTCTCAATATTCGACATAAATTCCTTGTAAAAACGCTTGTGCCGTAGCTCGGGTGGTTCCTCAGAGGTGACGAGCCCATTGGAAGGCGCGTCAGCTCTTATTACGTCAACGATTCAGTAGCCTCAACGTACAAAATACAAAGTACTAATCTAACCAGAAACGTATGAACCCACGCCACCCACCTAACCTAACCCGCCCAGGCAAAGAAAACGTGGATATGTGGGAGCAGTTACCTTTTTTTTATAGTACTTTCTTATGCATACGTTGGTGACCACAAGGTACAGAATGAGACGTGTTAGTCGAGACGTCGCGGGAGAGATGTACAAAAGCCTGGGGGGGGGGAGGGGGGATTATACCAGGCATTTAAAAGACCTTAGTTATATTTGTTGTTATTCTATTAGATTATATCTTTGTGTGTGTGTGTGTGTGTGTGTGTGTGTGTGTGTGTGTGTGTGTGTGTGTGTGTGTGTGTGTGTGTGTGTGTGTGTGTGTGTGTGTGTGTGTGTGTGTGTGTGTGTGTGTGTGTATAGTGCGTGCATGTGTGTGTACGTCAAGTGTTGAGCATCGTGGAGGACGTCACCGTGCAGGTGGCGTCTGGACGCCCGTTCTCTCACAGCTCTGGTTCCAAACCTGAAATATCCGGCAACACTGAATAATTTATTCTTATTTTTTGGCTTGCTTGTGTGTGTTTTTTTTTTTTTTTGAAAGGGGGGAGCAGCGTGCATGTTGCCTGCTGCTGTTATCCTCAGCTCCCCGGGCTAAGGGCGGCTCTTGCAGTCAGTCTCTACCTCACTTATGTCTGTAATAAGACAAGCCAAGTATTTTTTTTTTTTTGTTAATATTTCCACTTTTTTGCCAGAGTGGCGATTATTTTGTCCTTGAAACATGTGGAGTTTCATGACTCCATTACCCTGGGTGGGTTGGCATGCTGCCAGTCCCCTTACAAGGACACGCACACCTCACCAACAAGGACAGACACCAACAAAGACAGACACCAACAAAGACAAACACCAACAAGGACAAACACCAACAAAGACAAACACCAACAAAGACAGACACCAACAAAGACAGACACCAACAAGGACAAACACCAACAAGGACAAACACTAACAAAGACAAACACCAACAAAGACAAACACCAACAAAGACAAACACCGACAATGACAAACACCAACAAAGACAAACACCAACAAAGACAGACACCAACAAGGACAGACACCAACAAGGACAAACACCAACAATGACAAACACCAACAAAGACAAACACCAACAAAGACAAACACCAACAAAGACAAACACCAACAAAGACAGACACCAACAAAGACAAACACCAACAAAGACAAACACCAACAAAGACAAACACCGACAATGACAAACACCAACAAAGACAAACACCAACAAAGACAAACACCGACAATGACAAACACCAACAAAGACAAACACCAACAAAGACAAACACCAACAAAGACAAACACCAACAAAGACAAACACCAACAAAGACAAACACCAACAAGGACAAACACCAACAAAGACAAACACCAACAAAGACAGACACCAACAAAGACAAACACCAACAAAGACAAACACCAACAAAGACAAACACCAACAAAGACAGACACCAACAAGGACAGACACCAACAAGGACAAACACCAACAAGGACAAACACCAACAAGGACAAACACCAACAAAGACAAACACCAACAAAGACAAACACCAACAAAGACAGACACCAACAAAGACAGACACCAACAAAGACAAACACCAACAAAGACAAACACCAACAAAGACAAACACCAACAAAGACAGACACCAACAAGGACAGACACCAACAAGGACAAACACCAACAAGGACAAACACCAACAAGGACAAACACCAACAAAGACAAACACCAACAAGGACAAACACCAACAAAGACAAACACCAACAAAGACAAACACCAACAAAGACAAACACCAACAAGGACAAACACCAACAAAGACAAACACCAACAAAGACAGACACCAACAAAGACAGACACCAACAAAGACAGACACCAACAAAGACAAACACCAACAAAGACAAACACCAACAAAGACAAACACCAACAAGGACAAACACCAACAAAGACAAACACCAACAAAGACAAACACCAACAAAGACAGACACCAACAAAGACAGACACCAACAAAGACAAACACCAACAAAGACAAACACCAACAAAGACAGACACCAACAAAGACAGACACCAACAAAGACAAACACCAACAAAGACAAACACCAACAAAGACAGACACCAACAAGGACAGACACCAACAAGGACAAACACCAACAAAGACAAACACCAACAAAGACAGACACCAACAAGGACAAACACCAACAAGGACAAACACCAACAAGGACAAACACTAACAAAGACAAACACCAACAAAGACAAACACCAACAAAGACAGACACCAACAAGGACAAACACCAACAAGGACAAACACTAACAAAGACAAACACCAACAAAGACAAACACCAACAAAGACAGACACCAACAAAGACAAACACCAACAAAGACAAACACCAACAAAGACAGACACCAACAAACACCTCCCCAACAAAGACAGACACCTCACAGTTCCTCACAAGTGTGTGCTAGACAGCCTGGAGCAAGAGGCTGGTGAGTAGTGAAGTAGGGAACACACAGTGGCAGAGGGCCTAGTAAGAGGCGAGTTCTCAGCAGGAAGAGAGGTGATGAGTGGCGTCAATTGGCTATAATAAAACCAATACTTTCCCCTAATATATGTCAACAATCTACGAGTGTAAGTAATTAAGCTCATTCTTGTCCATGTTTGCTGACGACGCTCAGCTAACGTGGCGAATCAGAATCGAGAAGGACTGCAATACATTACAAGATGAACTAGACAATCTCCAGAGATGGTCTGAGAAATGGCTGGTAGATTTTAACCCTGACAAATGCAAAGATATGAGGATGAAAGTTGAAGTAAGAAGACCCCCAAATACAGTATAGGATGAAGGGAAAGTAACTTCCAACTTTGTGTGTGATTCTAACACCAGAGGCAGACATTAGCAGGATAACAAGGGCACCATATGCTATACTGGCAAACGTCCGGTTATCCTTCACCAACCGGGACAAACATCCCTGCCGAGCGCTGTGTACATCCTTTGCCAAACCTGTCATTGAGTACGCTGCCCCAGCATGGAACCCCGAACCTAAAGAAACAAAACTTGAAAAGGTCTAAAAATATACAAAGGGGCTCGTTTCTGAGCTAATGGGACTAAGCTATGACGAGAGACTGAGGAAATTGGACCTCCCTAGACTGGAGAGGAAAAAAGGAATAGAACAGACATGATAACGAGAGGATATATTTGGAAACTGGAAACAGATGAGTCACAGAGATGTAAGAAAGAAGTGCATTGAACTGATGACGATCGAAATGCAGAGCTTAAGAGTAGATGCTCCAGCTTGCAAGCTTAACTAAGTACACACACACACACACACACACACACACACACACACACACACACACACACACACACACACACACACACACACACACACACACAATAGGAGATGAAGTACTTATTGAAACGGACAGAGAGAAAGATCTAGGAGTTGATATCACACCAAACCTGTCTCCTGAAGCCCACATAAAAAGAATAACGTCTGCGGCATATGCGAGGCTGACTAACATCAGAACAGCGTTCAGGAACCTGTGTAAGGAATCATTCAGAATCTTGTACACTACATATGTAAGACCAATCCTGGAGTATGCGGCCCCAGCATGGAGCCCGTACCTTGTCAAGCACAAGACGAAGCAGGAAAAAGTCTAAAGGTACGCCACTACACTAGTCCTAGAACTAAGAGGCATGAGTTACGAGGAAAGGCTGCGGGAAATGCACCTTACGACACTGGAAGACAGAAGAGTAAGGGGAGACATGATCACAACCTACAAAATCCTCAGGGGAATCGACCGGGTAAACAAGGATAAACTATTCAACACTGGTGGGACGCGAACAAGGGGACACAGGTGGAAACTGAGTACCCACATGAGCCACAGCGACGTTAGAAGGAACTTTTTCAGTGTCAGAGTAGTTAACAGATGGAATGCATTAGGCAGTGATGTGGTGGAGGCTGACTCCATACACAGTTTCAAATGTAGATATGATAGAGCCCAGTAGGCTCAGGAATCTGTACACCAGTTGATTGACAGTTGAGAGGCGGGACCAAAGAGCCAAAGCTTCACCCCCGCAAGCACAACCAGGTGAGTACGAATAGATGAGTACACACACAGTCAGGTAACTGAGGGCACAAGGTGTAGCAGGGAAGAGCACCAGGGGCACACAGGTGCATGTGTGTGTGTGTGTACAGGTGTGCCCTTGAGGCCAGCAGTGACCCCTACTTCACCAGGGGCACACAGGTGCATGTGTGCCCTTGAGGCCAGCAGTGACCCCTACTTCACTAGGGGCACACAGGTGCATGTGTGTGTGTGTGTGTGCAGGTGTGCCCTTGAGGCCAGCAGCGACCCCTACTTCACCAAGGGCACAAAAACTTGAAGATGCTCCAGACTAACAGATGGTTTTCTCAACTATTCTGATGAGCGACAATGGTAACTTGTCTCTCAAAATCCGCTCCTAAGAACATAAGAATGATGGAAACTGTAGAAGGAATATTGGCCCATACACGGCAGCTCCTATTTATATGAACTTCTTAGTAAGTCATCAACAGTAACTTTAGTGAATAAAAAAGTTACATCAAAGATAACCATCTAATAATTACAGAGGTCTTTCTTATTTTGGATATTTTTTTTTCAAATAAATCTTCAAATTTAGATTATATATATTACCAACAATAGGATTTAGAACTTGGTCTAGCTATTTTGACAGTTTTGTTTTTAATAATATTGTTACAAAATTTGAAATGGATATAAGTAACTTTCTCATATTTTAAGCCATCTATATTTGGAATTCTATGAAACAAGACTATTAAGTAAAAATTTGTCCTCCTAATTCTACGTGGCTCGGGTATATTAATGTTTTTTTTTTTGCTTGTGGCCCAAGAACCTGGAAACATTCCTATTAGAATTAAATAATCTCGACCCATCCATGAAGTTTGTTACAATGGAAATGGAACGAGACAACTCTTTACTGTTCTTAGATGTGATCATTTATAAATGTGAAAATAATTTCAAGTTTTCTGTAGATAGAAAACCAACAAATGTTGAGTCTTGTGTACACTTTGACTCATCTCATCTTCAAAAGAGTCAAACCAGCTCTATTTTCTTGTGTGTTTCTGAGAGCTCTATGGAATATGTAGTCTTGAGTTTATAGATGATGAAATTAGTGTCATATATATAGTCTAGGTTACAATTCAATAATATTAATGTAAGTCCAGGATTATATAAACTAGATAACTTTATAACTGGTAAGACTTGTGATAGGTATAAAATTATATATATATATATATATATATATATATATATATATATATATATATATATATATATATATATATATATATATATATATATATATTATATTTATACATTTATTATGAGAAGAATACTCGAGATACTTCCTGAGTATCAGTGAAAGGAGGATGAACTAAGCGAACTAAGCCTTGAGAGAGCAGAGAAATTGAAATTGAAATTGAAATTGAAATAAGTTTATTGAGGTAAAATACACACAAAGGGATGAGGTAGCTCAAGCTATTCTCACCCCGTTCAGTACATCGTGTTAATACATACATAGACACACACATCACAAGCAATAAACATATTACCGAACATTCTGAGAGAGCAGAGATGGCCAAGGCTGAGAGGAGGTGAGCCATCCTGGTGATACACCACCGGTCAGCCCCTCCAGCTGCCCCCGCGGTCACGCGCGGCCAACATAACGCTCACCATTCTAATCATGGCATCATTTATCCTGCTATGTGTGGTCTGAAGATAAATTAAAACAGAAGGGGGAGAGTTGCCTTATTGTGTTTATGTGGTATGCTTATTCCTCCTGGCGTTCTAGTTTACCTTGGGGGCCATTGGTGGCCCGAGGCGATTGGTGGCCCACACTAATGGCCTCGTCGGGGACCACAGACCTGCGGCTAGTCATAGCTTCTCCAACCGCTATCACCACCGTTGTTTCCGAGGTCTTACTGCAGATTTCTTTCTGGTGTGAATGGTTTGTGCTTCCTGTCACTTCTGGGTCAGGCTCATCCCACCTGTCCACCGCTGTCACTCCATGCCAACTGGATGTCAATGTGCAGGATAAAGTGCTGAACGTGTATGGCTATATAGCACTTAGAAGGCATACGTGGACAAGGAGCTGGGATATGAGGACAAGGAGCTGGGATATGAGGACAAGGAGCTGGGATATGAGGACAAGGAGCTGTGATATGAGGAAAAGGAGCTGGGATATGAGGACAATGAGCTCGGATACGAGGACAAGGAGCTGTGATATGAGGACATGGAGCTGTGATATGAGGACAAGGAGCTGGGATATGAGGACAAGGAGCTGGGATATGAGGACAAGGAGCTGGGATATGAGGACAAGGAGCTGGGATATGAGGACAAGGAGCTGGGATATGAGGACAAGGAGCTGTGATATGAGGACAAGGAGCTGTGATATGAGGACAAAGAGCTGCGATATGAGGACAAAGAGCTGCGATATGAGGACAAGGAGCTGTGATATGAGGACAAAGAGCTGGGATATGAGGACAAGAAGCTGTGATATAAGAGCAAGGAGCTGGGATATGACGAGAGATAGAAGGAAGAGTTGCTGGGAGATGACGAGAGATAGAGAGGAAGAGAGAGAGAGAGAGAGAGAGAGAGAGAGAGAGAGAGAGAGAGAGAGAGAGAGAGAGAGATTACAACACTCACATATACATCTCTACAATATGTCAGAAACTTCCTCAAGACCCAGGAGAGGCGTGTCGTGTCCTCAGGAGGCAGCAGGCATTTCCTGGCGCCCAGCAACAGGAAACGGTCACATTTTCCCCCCTGGTGCCGAACGTCTCCGATTATGTTTTGAGAAAACTGTAGCCAAAACAACATTTATAGTTTGGGCTACAGTTATGAAGCTCCTAAATGTGTGTGTGTGTGTGAAGCTCCTTGAGATTATGATCTGTCGTAGTTTATTTTGGGTTGAAATCTAGGCGATGGACTAGGTACTGGACCCAGTATAGACGTTCGACCAGGTACTGGACCCGGTATAGACGTTGGACCAGGTACTGGACCCGGTATAGACTTTGGACCAGGTACTGGACCCGGTATAGACGTTGGACCAAATACAGGAACATATCAGGTTCTTCAATCCCAAAAATATTTTCGATATTTCTGTTCAGGATAAACGTCTAAGTGCTAGTTGGTCAATTTTTTTTAAATTTTGCCCCAAGGGGCGAGTTTATTGGTCAGCGTCACTCATCCTGTGAGTGGACACACCGCCATAGCATCATGAACAACACTCCCCAATAGGAAGAAAACCCGCTGGGTTGTTCATCCTGTCACTTGTACCCAGTCACAGCCTTGAGAGACCAATATCATCATGGTGCTGGTCGGGGGGGGAGGGAGGTGCCGTTTCCCTGGGGGCTAAATTCACGAAGCAGTTACGCAAGTACTTACGAACCTGTACATCTTTCCTCAA